CCTCCCCTTTGCAAGCGGCTGTCTTTGTACCCCCGTCATGCTTTGCACAGTTGTTCCCTTTTCTCCCCACTGCATGTGGGAAGGTGGGTGCAGCGCCGGTCCCCAAGTGTCCCGCTGTCCGCAGCTAATACTTTGCCCAGTCTAGGTGCTAGTAAGCCCTACTTGTAGTCACACCCCCTTCTCCTTATTCATTAGGTCATTTACGGCCTCTTGGCCGGGTACATTACGTGTTATGTGGTCTCTCACTTATTAGTTATTCTTTGTGTCCTGCCTGTTATATCCTAGTGTTATATAATTACTACACATTTGCACTCGGCCTTAATTCTAGTACCAGTTAACCTTTAGGTTTCTGCAGAATTAGTTTCCATGTCACTATAGGCTAAGGTCTCATACTTACTACGGGTGTACCTTAAGTTAAATCTAGTCCTCGGACTTGGAATTGTTACTGTTAATTCTTACTTTATATATTTTAATATAAACTTTATATATTTACTTACTTTATATATTTGAAACTTTATATATTTACATGTTCAATATTAAGTTTAATATAATATAAACTTTATATAATTACTTACTTTATATATTTGAAACTTTATATATTTACATGTTCTGCAGAATTTAATCTTCAATAAATTTAAAGCCCCATACTGCCAGTATCTTTCTCCCCCTGATCAGAAAGTAGTGCAATAGTGGCGCCTCTGCTTCTGTTTCACAGATATACAAATACAAATACAAATACAAAAAACTCGTGACACTTTAACTATTGGGTTCATTACCTTCCAGCAGCACTTGTAACCAAGTCTGAGTCTGTGTATGGCTACTGCAATGTCTCTGGATATCTTTTTGCCAGGCTCGAAGAGGAGAGAGGTGGCGTGAGGGAATATGGAGGAGAGAGGTGGCGTGAGGGAGACATGGAGGAGAGAGGTGGCGTGAAGGAGACATGGAGGAGAGAGGTGGCGTGAGGGAATATGGAGGAGAGAGGTGGCGTGAGGGAGACATGGAGAAGAGAGGTGGCGTGAAGGAAACATGGAGGAGAGAGGTGGCGTGAGGGAATATGGAGGAGAGAGGTGGCGTGAGGGAGACATGGAGGAGAGAGGTGGCGTGAAGGAGACATGGAGGAGAGAGGTGGCGTGAGGGAATATGGAGGAGAGAGGTGTCGTGAGCGAATATGGAGGGTGAGGTGGAGTGAGGGAATATGGAGGAGAGAGGTGGCGTGAGGGAATATGGAGGAGAGAGGTGGCGTGAGGGAATATGGAGGAGAGAGGTGGCGTGAAGGAGACATGGAGGAGAGAGGTGGCGTGAGGGAATATGGAGGAGAGAGGTGGCGTGAGGGAATATGGAGGAGAGAGGTGGCGTGAGGGAGACATGGAGGGGTGAGGGAGATATGGAAGAGAGAGGTGGCGTGAGGGAGACATGGAGGAGAGAGGTGGCGTGAAGGAGACATGGAGGAGAGAGGTGGCGTGAGGGACTATGGAGGAGAGAGGTGGCGTGAGGGAATATGGAGGAGAGAGGTGGCGTGAGGGAATATGGAGGAGAGAGGTGGCGTGAGGAAGACATGGAGGAGAGAGGTGGCGTGAGGGAATATGGAGGAGAGAGGTGGCGTGAGGGAGACATGGAGGAGAGAGGTGGCGTGAAGGAGACATGGAGGAGAGAGGTGGCGTGAGGGAATATGGAGGAGAGAGGTGGCGTGAGGGAATATGGAGGAGAGAGGTGGCGTGAGGGAATATGGAGGAGAGAGGTGGCGTGAGGGAATATGGAGGAGAGAGGTGGCGTGAGGGAATATGGAGGAGAGAGGTGGTGTGAGGGAATATGGAGGAGAGAGGTGGCGTGAGGGAATATGGAGGGTGAGGTGGTGTGAGGGAATATGGAGGAGAGAGGTGGCGTGAGGGAATATGGAGGAGAGAGGTGGTGTGAGGGAATATGGAGGAGAGAGGTGGCGTGAGGGAATATGGAGGGTGAGGTGGCGTGAGGGAATATGGAGGAGAGAGGTGGCGTGAGGGAATATGGAGGAGAGAGGTGGCGTGAGGGAATATGGAGGAGGTGGCGTGAGGGAGACATGGAGGAGAGAGGTGGCGTGAGGGAATATGGAGGAGAGAGGTGGCGTGAGGGAGACATGGAGGAGAGAGGTGGCGTGAGGGAATATGGAGGAGAGAGGTGGCGTGAGGGAATATGGAGGAGAGAGGTGGTGTGAGGGAATATGGAGGAGAGAGGTGGCGTGAGGGAATATGGAGGGTGAGGTGGCGTGAGGGAATATGGAGGAGAGAGGTGGCGTGAGGGAATATGGAGGAGAGAGGTGGCGTGAGGGAATATGGAGGAGAGAGGTGGCGTGAGGGAGACATGGAGGAGAGAGGTGGCGTGAGGGAATATGGAGGAGAGAGGTGGCGTGAGGGAGACATGGAGGAGAGAGGTGGCGTGAGGGAATATGGAGGAGAGAGGTGGCGTGAGGGAATATGGAGGGTGAGGTGGCGTGAGGGAATATGGAGGAGAGAGGTGGCGTGAGGGAGACATGGAGGAGAGAGGTGGCGTGAGGGAATATGGAGGAGAGAGGTGGCGTGAGGGAATATGGAGGAGAGAGGTGGCGTGAGGGAATATGGAGGAGAGAGGTGGCGTGAGGGAGACATGGAGGAGAGAGGTGGCGTGAGGGAATATGGAGGAGAGAAGTGGCGTGAGGGAATATGGAGGGTGAGGTGGCGTGAGGGAATATGGAGGAGAGAGGTGGCGTGAGGGAGACATATGGAGGAGAGAGGTGGCGTGAGGGAATATGGAGGAGAGAGGTGGCGTGAGGGAATATGGAGGAGAGAGGTGGCGTGAGGGAATATGGAGGAGAGAGGTGGCGTGAGGGAATATGGAGGGTGAGGTGGCGTGAGGGAATATGGAGGAGAGAGGTGGCGTGAGGGAGACATGGAGGAGAGAGGTGGCGTGAGGGAATATGGAGGAGAGAGGTGGCGTGAGGGAGACATGGAGGAGAGAGGTGGCGTGAGGGAATATGGAGGAGAGAGGTGGCGTGAGGGAATATGGAGGAGAGAGGTGGCGTGAGGGAATATGGAGGAGAGAGGTGGCGTGAGGGAATATGGAGGGTGAGGTGGCGTGAGGGAATATGGAGGAGAGAGGTGGCGTGAGGGAGACATGGAGGAGAGAGGTGGCGTGAGGGAATATGGAGGAGAGAGGTGGCGTGAGGGAGACATGGAGGAGAGAGGTGGCGTGAGGGAATATGGAGGAGAGAGGTGGCGTGAGGGAATATGGAGGAGAGAGGTGGCGTGAAGGAGACATGGAGGGGTGAGGGAGATATGGAGGAGAGAGGTGGCGTGAAGGAGACATGGAGGAGAGAGGTGGCGTGAAGGAGACATGGAGTGAATCTGTACGATGGTACAACATGGTTGCAGCTGGCAATCCCAATCAGTATGGCCGAAGAGGAGGACGACGAGGGAGAGAATCAGTAATAGCGAGAATCCGTCTTGGATACAAATATCCATGGAGATTTGGAATGGAAACAACAGTTGATCAGCGAAGTTGCAGAATCTGTGGTGAGAGTGATGGACATCGCCTTGACCACTATCCACGTGAATGTGAACACCTGAGAGACATTAGGAATAACTGTAGAATAATAAACCCCACATTGTTTGAGTTAGGAAAACACTATTTGTCAAATATTGATACTGTTCTTAAAAGATTTCCCCATTTTGCACCCGCAAGATAACGTAAGCTTTTAAGGGTTGGTAAATGTTAATCTTCTTGTTTGAGGAGCTGACATGTTCACTTGAGACAGTTAAGCAAGTCCCAGCTGTGTCTGGGTACAAGTGACAGGATGAACAACCCAGCGGGTTTTCTTCCTATTGGGGAGTGTTGTACATGCTGCTATGGCGGTGTGTCCACTCACAGGATGAGTGGCGCTGCCCAATACTGTCACTATGGCGGTGTGTCCACTCACAGGATGAGTGGTGCTGCCCAATACTGTCACTATGGCGGTGTGTCCACTCACAGGATGAATGGCGCTGCCTAATACTGTCACTATGGCGGTGTGTCCACTCACAGGATGAGTGGCGCTGCCTAATAAACTCGCCCCTCGGGGCAAAATTTAAAAAAAAAATTAAATTTAAATGGAGGAGAGAGGTGGCGTGAGGGAATATGGAGGAGAGAGGTGGCGTGAGGGAATATGGAGGAGAGAGGTGGCGTGAGGGAATATGGAGGAGAGAGGTGGCGTGAGGGAATATGGAGGGTGAGGTGGCGTGAGGGAATATGGAGGAGAGAGGTGGCGTGAGGGAATATGGAGGAGAGAGGTGGCGTGAGGGAATATGGAGGGTGAGGTGGCGTGAGGGAATATGGAGGAGAGAGGTGGCGTGAGGGAGACATGGAGGAGAGAGGTGGCGTGAGGGAATATGGAGGAGAGAGGTGGCGTGAGGGAGACATGGAGGAGAGAGGTGGCGTGAGGGAATATGGAGGAGAGAGGTGGCGTGAGGGAATATGGAGGAGAGAGGTGGCGTGAGGGAATATGGAGGAGAGTGGTGGCGTGAGGGAATATGGAGGAGAGAGGTGGCGTGAGGGAATATGGAGGGTGAGGTGGCGTGAGGGAATATGGAGGAGAGAGGTGGCGTGAGGGAATATGGAGGAGAGAGGTGGCGTGAGGGAGACATGGAGGGGTGAGGGAGATATGGAGGAGAGAGGTGGCGTGAAGGAGACATGGAGGAGAGAGGTGGCGTGAGGGAATATGGAGGGGTGAGGGGGATGAGGGGGGGCCGGGATGGGGGACCAAGGGTGGGGATGAGTAAGGGTCACAGGGGCGTGAGTCACGACCAGTCGTCGGGGAGACCTGCTACACACTCACTGCTGCTTCACGGCTCAACAGGTCAGACGCGCTCTAGTATTACCTTTATGTATCACTGTGTGTAAGGTATTACAAGCCCGGCCTCGGGTGTATTGTTTACCAGCCAGTGGTGTTGTGCCGGGGCTCCACACCGGGGAGAGGCCCTCCGGGTCATACACTCCCTTTGTTCACTATATACTTTGTCATACCGACCATGTGTTTACTTGTATGGAGACGATACACACATTTGATGTTATCAGGGAAGGTTTCTTTGCTTGTTAGGTATGTTGTAAGGTAGATGAGTGGTGAGGCGTAGATGAGTGGGGAGGCGTGGATGAGTGTTGAGGCGTGGATGAGTGTTGAGGCGTGGATGAGTGTTGAGGCGTGGATGAATGCTGAGGCGTGGATGAGTGTTGAGGCGTAGATGAGTGTTGAGGCGTAGATGAGTGTTGAGGCGTGGATGAGTGGTGAGGCGTGGATGAGTGTTGAGGCGTGGATGAGTGTTGAGGCGTGGATGAGTGTTGAGGCGTGGATGAGTGCTGAGGCGTGGATGAGTGTTGAGGCGTGGATGAGTGTTGAGGCGTAGATGAGTGTTGAGGCGTAGATGAGTGTTGAGGCGTAGATGAGTGGTGAGGCGTAGATGAGTGGTGAGGCGTAGATGAGTGGTGAGGCGTAGATGAGTGGTGAGGCGTAGATGAGTGGTGAGGCGTAGATGAGTGTTGAGGCGTAGATGAGTGGTGAGGCGTGGATGAGTGGTGAGGCGTGGATGAGTGTTGAGGCATGGATGAGTGTTGAGGCATGGATGAGTGTTGAGGCGTGGATGAGTGTTGAGGCGTGGATGAGTGTTGAAGCGTGGATGAGTGTTGAGGCGTGGATGAGTGGTGAGGCGTGGATGAGTGTTGAGGCGTAGATGAGTGTTGAGGCGTGGATGAGTGTTGAGGCGTGGATGAGTGGTGAGGCGTGGATGAGTGTTGAGGCGTAGATGAGTGTTGAGGCGTGGATGAGTGTTGAGGCGTGGATGAGTGGTGAGGCGTGGATGAGTGGTGAGGCGTAGATGAGTTGAGGCGTGGATGAGTGTTGAGGCGTAGATGAGTGGTGTGGTGAGGGGTAGCGCCTCTCAGGTCACAGTTGGCAATGCTCTACTAACCTAGGCAACAGGCACTAGGTTACTTTGACCATATTTGTTTAACTAGATTATTCGGGTTTGAAGCACAGGTAGGAATTTAAGTGTCTTTATGGACAACTAAGTTTGATTACTTAGTATTAACTAATTCTAAAGAGGCAGCCTAATTAAAGCCTTCTAAACCTACATTTTGACTGAGCTACAATAAACACAGAAATCACAATAGCGTGATATATCAAATGAACAAATCAACAAGGACCGTGATGAGGGTTCGAACCTACGTCCAGGATGATCCCAGACATGCCTTAGTCGACTGATCCATGACATGGTTAACCAAAACCATGTCGTAGCTTGTTAATTTGTTCAACTGAGCTACATTTGTATGTTAACCCCCCACAAGACTTTTTTTATTTATATATACAAGAGTTTTTTTTTTACATTCTTGTAAAGCCACTACAACACATACCTTGAGGTTATCTTGAGATAATTTCGGGGCTTAGTGTCCCCGCGGCCTGGTCTTTGACCAGGCCTGCACCCCTAGGAAACAGCCCATGACAGCTGACTAACTCCCAGGTACCTATTTACTGCTAGGCTGGCTGCTAGACGTCAGGCTGCGAGCAGCCGCGTCTAACAGCCTGGTTGATCAGTCCAGCAACCAGGAGGCCTGGTCGACGACCGGGCCGCGGGGACACTAAGCCCCGGAAGCACCTCAAGGTAGCCTCAAGGTAGGTAACAGGCGCATCAGGGTGAAAGAAACTGCCCATTGTTTCTTGCTGGTGCCTGGGATCGAACCCAGGACCACAGGATCACACGTCCAGTGTTCTGTTTGCTCAGCCACCGGCTCCCCAACCCTACCTTTTTGGCCATTTCCTTAATCTTAATTTTCCCAGGAAGATGATCCACCAAATCGTTTAAAGACCAAGTACCCATTCACTGCTGGGTGAACAGAGGCGTACAGTTGATAATTGATGCCTAGTCAATCCTCCCAGGCCAAATCGCTCATGCTGGGCGAGTGTGTGTTACCACTGCGCCACAGGGACTGCATTGGTAGTACAGGGACTTAGTATGGCTCTTAAGGATTATGGTCTTCATCTTATAAATAGGTTTCAACAATTTTGTTGAAACCTATTTATGTTTTAAGTTTATAAGATATCACTGATTACAGGATACTACATGCTTTTAAGAACATAAGAATTAGGAATTAGGCACCTACCTCTCTGACAGCTATCCTAAGTCTCTGTACCTGTCCCCAGCAAATTCCTCAGTTATCATTGATATTATCCACACACTTAAAACTGACTCCAGTAACCCTTCTAAGATACCAACCCTAATCTACACAAATGCCTAAAAACTAAGTTTTTAGACCCCCCTGCCATAGTACTGCTCTACAACAAATCGCCTGATCTCTGACCCTTCACAGATACTCGTAAAATGGCTAAAATCATTCCAGTCCATAAGAATGAGATCACACTGAAATCAGCAAGTTTAGACAATATCAATCCTATCCACATTGGCCAAAATTGTTGAGAAACTCACATACAGACAGCTCTAATCCTTCCTAGATAAACACAATATTATATACTCAAGTTCTAACTAATATGGCTTCAAGCCCCATAAAAGTGCTCCGAACCATAATAAAATCTGACCCAAGTAGCAATTGGGTCAACGCATGACCCAACTGGCTGATTTTATCTCTGATTTCAAACTCTATTTTCTTTGTCTCTTTAGGTTGTTTTGATGATTAGGGACCATATTAGGGCTTTTTCACTTATATAAAGTATACCCTAAATATATCCCCTAAATCATTATAATTATCCCTATATTTGTGTTTTTTTTTGGGTTATTTTTTCTTCATTTCAACACATATTGACCTCCAACTTTCACATATTCGAGTACGAATGCCAAATAATGTTTATTAAAACATACAATTAAATTAATGAATTAAAACTACGTTTATTCATTGTTGATACTGTAACTTCAACTTCAATTATCTCTGAAACTAGAGTTTCAACTTCAAATTCCAGTTTTTGCCAATTCTCACTATTTTGACATATTGTGTGCTCAGCTGTCTGTTCTACAATCCCTTCAGAATGGATTTTTTTTATAAACTTTATACATTTGGAGTTATAATTTGTTTGGGTCTAAATTTGCCGCATATTTCAAATGCCCTATTGACGATTTTTTTTACAGTAAACTATACTGAAAACCTATATTCTAATTTGATGAAAATGAAGATCATATGCTAGTCTGAGAGAATAATAACATTAAATGAACAATTGGTGATAGTTCATATTTTTTATTCTAAATTGAAAATCTCTGAAGTTTTCAACATTCAATTTTAAAATTAATTTTGATTCTCTTGTTTTTCAAGTTACGTTACGTCATTTAGACAAAGTTGGAGCATTTGCCTAGTTGATTATGCAAAAAAAATTGGAAAGTGTTTGTACGAGCTCTAAAAACATATGTTAAATTATGTTATATCAAATCATATATGTATGTATTGCGTGGTTGAAGGGTTAAACTGCTCAGCAAAAGGGGCAGGGAAGCAAAAAATATTTGAATTATGTAAAAATGACTTAAAAATGTTAAACAAATCTCCAACTTATTGACTTCAGCATCGTGAAACTTTATAAAAATATTTTCAGAAATTGATTTTAGACAAATTTTTTAAAAAGGAGAACATTTTGTTGATAAGGAGAACAGTTCCTATTCAGTGGGACTGATGAATAATGCAGTAATAAAGAGCTGCAAGCACAAGTCCAATACAAAAAGAAGAAGAATAGTAGTAAGAAGTGTCTACAAAGTGGATATGCAGCTGGTGCCTTTATAGCATTGCTGAGTAATACATAAATAACACAAATAATAATGAGTATGTTATTATGCTTTATTTTGTTATATATCATATAAATACATTGCCCAGTGTTAATATCTGTTACGTTCATCAATGTCCAAAAAAAAATTTTGAGGGGATTTTTTTTTTATCTGATTTTGTTGTAACCGTCACATCCTGGAGAGTGCATACTCGTCCCTAACTATGTGAAGATAGAATGAAATTGGTCAACAAATAAATCAGCCACAACTCGCAAAACTTGGGACTGAATTTTTTTTGGCTGATTTTTTCACAGATTTCAAACTCTATTTCCTTTGTCTATGTTGTTTTGATGATTAGGGACCAGTTTAAGGTTTTTTCACTTATATAAGTATACCCTAAATATATCCACTAAATCATTATAATTATTATAATTATCCCTATACAGTATTTTGTTTTTTTGGGGGGGTTATTTTTTCTTGATGTCACTTCAGCACACATTGACTTGCAACTTTCACATATTTGAGTACGAATGCCAAACAATGTTTATTAAAACATGCAGTAGAAGTAAATTCAAGAATTAAAATTACCTTATTCATTGTCGATAACTTCAACTTCAATTACAGGTACAGGTATATCTATAACTAGAATTTCAACTTACTTCAGTATCGAAAAATCTAGTTTCTGACCGATTCTCACCATTTTTGCATATAGTGTGCACAGCTGTTTACCTAGCAGTAAATAGGTACCTGGGAGTTAGTCAGCTGTCACGGGCTGCTTCCTGGGGGTGGAGGCCTGGTCGAGGACCGGGCCGCGGGGACACTAAAAAGCCCCGAAATCATCTCAAGATAACCTCAAGATAACCTCAAGCTGTCCCTTGAGAATGGATTTTTCATAAACCATAAACGTTTGGAGTTATAAATTTTTGTAGTTAAATTTGCGCATATTTCTAATGCCATATTGACGATTTTTTCTTAGAGTAAACTATATTGAAAGTCTATATTCTAAATATACTGTATAGGAAAATAAAGATCATATGCTATTCTGAGAGCATAATAACACAAAATAAACAATTGGTGATATTTTATATTTTTGCAGCTGATTTCAAAACTTAAAGTTTTCAATTTTCAATTTTATGATTATTTTTTATTTTCTTGTTCTTCAAGCTACGTTGGTATCATTTAGACAAAGTTGGAGCATTTGCCTAATAGATTATGCACAAAACATTTGAAAGTGTTTCAGCAAATTTTGAAAACTGAGCTCTATGTCCAACTTCATATGATGTTTTGCCTTAAGGGTTAAATCCTTAAGGGTTAAGGATTGGCTCCTAGTCATTCCTCCCCGGCCAGGATGTGAACCCAGGCCAAAGCGCTCATGAAATGTCAGGCGAGTGCATTACCACTGCACCAGAGGGCTACTCATCTGTCATCCTTATCATCAGTTTTGATAATGATAGACAATCTTGATACTCGTCTATCTTTATCTTACCTATGGTATCTGTGCCTGGGGTTCTATTATCCAACATTATCTATAACCCCTAATTACTCAACACACACAAGCAATTAGAAGAACAATAAACTCTAGCCACAGACAGCACTCGGCCCCCTTACTTAAATCTTTGAATATGTTAGATGTGAAGTCGCTACACATCCTCTCAAGTGTACTCAATATATAAAACACTGAACTGCAATGCTAATCCCAACCTTAAATGCTTCCTAGAGGGTTGTAACAGAACCCATAGGTACTTCACTAGAAACAAATATTTATTTGACATTCCAAGAGTGCGACTTAACCTACTTAACCAAAGCAAAAATACTCTACAAATCAAGGGTCCCAAAATGTGGAATGATCTCCCTAATCACATCAAAGACTCCTTCTCTCAACCAGTTTAGAAGAGAAACTAAGACCTACCTGTTAAGCTCTGTGTAACCTACCTTACTTTCTAAATGTCAATCTATGTTTTTCTGTTACTGAACATTAATTATTAAACTTGTACTGCTGCTATTATCTGCCATGAAAAAATTTAATAATTTTTTTTCCTTCTGTTTATACTGTAAAGTTAAAATATTCAGTCTCAATTTTTGCTATTCCAATCATGTAATAATTGTCATTTTATTTCTATTTCTCTACATCAATTCATTATTGTTTTTTATCTCATTTAATTATAATTTAAGTTTTTTACTTTTTCAATATTATGCCTGAAACACACTGCATTTTCCTTTTTTTTTTATGAGTCATGTTAGAAAAGGAGGAAAGACGTCAGATCTGGAGTCTTGCCTCGGGGAAAGCTACAGTATATGATCTCATTGATTTTAGTTGAGGATGCCTTTTTCAAATTTATAGTGCATGTTTGAATGAGAAAAAGTAGAGCAAGCTTCACAGCAGTTGATGCAGTACCTTGCTACTGTACTTTGACGTTCAATGCTCATATTTCCACCACCTATTGCAGAGGCATATAAAAAGAGATGTACGGTACTGTATTCCAGAGCAGAGCATCTGGCACCAGTAAGAATTACCAAAGACAGGAGGTTCCAAAAATCTGATGATGATGACTGCAAGGGGGTCAAGTGAATGTATATAACCTGCAGGATAGGATAAACCTGGGCTTTATAGATGTATGTTATATATTCATGGCAGTCTTTAAGGTCCCTGTTCAAAAATGGGGCGGGTGAATGACAGTGCTAATGTTGGCATTTAATTGGACATTTTTTAAGACCCAAATCTAGGTTATGCCAATCAGGTTGTTAAATTGGTGTAACCTGAACCCGGAATTCTCGATTGTTAGTCAAGAACGAACCCGATTGTACTACTGGGACCCTGGTTGACAGTGTTGCCAATGTTTCTCTATGTTGTTGCTTGTTTTTAAGGCTCTACCTTGTTGATGGCTTTTTCCTCTTGATCTAGTACCCCCAGACTCCCTTTGCATCTATTGATTGGACCACAGTATGCTTCTGGTCTGTTTAGGTATTTATGACTCGCAAGGGCCTGGTGAGGTATGTATGCATGGAGCTAACCAGGTGGTTAACTTTAGGAAGTCACTGAAGGGACCAACAAGAAAAAGGCATTTAATTACATTATACACTGGATTTTTCCTCTTGACTTAGCTTGAACTAGTATATCCAGACAGATGAGCCACAAGGGCCTTTTTTCATGCCTTATCGAAATTCAGTCCTGGAATGGTGCAGCAATCAAGTTTTAGAAATATTGTATGTAACAAGTTAAAGTAATGTTAACCAACAAATTAATTTACAGGATGAAGTCACTGGTGGTACTGGTGGTGGTGGTGGCAGTGGCAGCGGCAGCAGTAGTTGAGGATCCCACCCTCTCTGATAAGTTCATCAAACTACTACAGAAAGAGAAATCAACATGGAAGGTAATTCTTGTCACAGATAGTTTGTAACTCCTATGGTTTTAACACTTTCGCGCGCCCAGCTAAGGTTAAAAAAAGCGGTATGTGCGCGCAGCATTTTTGTTGCTTAAGCGTCAAAACAAAAATGTGTACTGTATACTCTTTTTACTCTCCTGACCTTAGTTCTCGAGCTACGTATTTCATTTTGGTACCAACGTGTTCGCAATAAAATTCTCTAGAAGAACATCAGTAAAAAAGGTCACGAAAGGTATAGGGATACCAGCACCAAATAAATAACTACGTAGATGACTCGCCGTGAGCGCCCAACAGCAACAAAATGTTTTTACTCTTGGGATTGTTATCACCTCCACACTTGTCCTACAGCGTTAATTTTGGTATCAATGGACTCGCAATGAAATTCCCAACACGGTAATATGAATATAAACGTAGAATAATGGTCGCGGCCCACCCGCAAGAGTGTGGGAAGTGGCGGAACTGTTACCCGGTATCGGTGACGCGACGACACATGTGCGATACGGCACTTTGAAAGTTTATACTTATTTCACTGTCCTGACATTATTGTTCTATGTACGTCATTTATTTTTGTGCCAATGTGTTCGCAATAGATTGTTCTATGAGCCTGTAGGTAAAAAAGATCAACAAAGCGTAAGATAGAATAGCGCCAAATATAAAACAACGCTGGAACATATCAGTGAGCGTCAAACACACAGGAAATGTTTTTACTGTTGTTATGTTGTCAAGTTTATACTTGTTGCACACAGTTATTTTTGATTGTACATTGATCGGAATAAAATTCCCTAAACAGACATATGCATATAATACATGATATGGGGGAAGCATTACCAGTATAAACGGCTAAAGTCACCCACCTGCAACCCGTTTGGGACACTCATGCAGACACATGCTACACCCAAAAAAAAATCTATGATGGTTCGAGTCTACTTAGGACAGTTTATGTGATACAGTGTTCATTCTGGTATCAAAATACTCGTTTCAGTTTGTAGTTCATGCGATTTTCAGAATCAACTGAATCGCTGGAGGTTCAACATTTGAGTCAGAGTCAGAGTCATCTGACAAAACCGTCTCGTCAATTGGCAGTGTGCCAGACATCTCGGGTTCTGATTCGGTTGCTGCTTCAGCTTGAGGTGTTGAAGTGAACAAGGGCCGCCTCACACCAGATGGTCCGGGAGTTTGCATGGCATCAGCATAGGCAGGACCTGTGTCATCATTTATGTCTGGAGCGTGCCGCAAGTGTTGAAATACTGTTGCTGTTTGAGCAACCTGTCCTCTTAAGAAGAACGTCGCTTTTGGCCGTTTACCCGTATGGCCGAATTTGGACGTAATTTGAAAATGAAATTAAATTTCAGATTTTTTTTTTCAACAACAATAAGTTAAGGGTCCTCTGATAAGGTTAGGTGGGCAGGAAATTCTCATAAAGTTTCAAAACGTTATGAAAAACGCTAATTTAAAGTGTCCTCTTATAGCCTCTGCGCGTACGCCGGACGACTCAAATAGAAAACGGAACAGAACGTCACTTTTGTGAGTCGATTTCATTTCAAATTACGTCCAAATTTGGCCATAGCGCGCATACGAGCGAAAAGTGGCGTTAATTTTAAGAGGATGGGTTGGTTTGAGGCCAATCTTCCGGGTCCCAGCGCAATAGGGCCCAAATTGCCACCTCGTGGAACTGTAGTAATGTTAGCTTTTTTTGATCAGTTGTGTTGTATTTGTACAAAACAAAGGCATTATGCAATGCCATTTGCAGGAAATAGAATGTTATCTTTTTGGTCCACTTGTGAGTTTTCCTGGTAAAATGGTAATACCATTTGATTGAAGTGGTCCACACTTTTCATGAACTTATTGTACCATGCAGCCTAGTGGTGAGAAAGAGAGCCTCATGGCGCGCAGTTTGAAACAAACCCAGAGTAAATCGGATTAAAATTGAATTTTATACAAATATTTTTTTCAGGACATCATTTTATATCCACATTGCGGAAATGGGTAGGCGAAACAGGACTCCAGGTTATGTCCTGATCCGCATAAAGTGTTAAGATAGATAGATTATATTCGATGGTACCTCAGTTTTTTAATTTAATCCGTTCCCAGAGACTGTTCAAAAACTGAAATTTTGAAAACCGAAACGAATTTTTCCATAAGAAATACTTAATGTAAATTGAATTAATCTGTTCCACACCCCCAAAAATATTAACATAAAAAATACATTTTATACATACTACTACTTATATTTTGTACTACAGTATGTACAAGTATATCTTACCTTTATGGAGGACTCTTGTTGGAGTATGGAAGATACAGTAGTGAAGAAGGGGGGAAAAGGAGAGGTGTTAGTGTTTGGAAGGGGAGTCCAATTCTATTATAACAGCAGTGATGACATTTCTGGGGTAATATCTCTCTTACATTTTGCAGGCATACCACTAGGACCTGGTTGTGGCTCACTGCTTGCTTGTCTTACTAAGAATCTGTCTAAAGACACTTGTTTTTGCTACGTTTTAACACTTGTCTGTAGCGAGACATCACATTGTCTCATTCACTTTGAATGATTTCTTGTTTTTCTTCTATCGTCATCCTCACAACTATTTTCTTAGGTTGAACTTTACAAACCACTGACTTTCTTGGAACCCATGGCGTGATACATAATAAGAACTTTTCTCGGGGGAGCCCTGTCGGCTCCCCGGAGCTTATCCAAGCTGATATGCTAATGTCAGACTTTGGCATCAGTCATGTGTAATTACCTAAGTGTAGTTACAGGATGAGAGCTACGCTCGTGGTGTCCCGTCTTCCCAGCACTCTTTGTCATATAACTCTTTGAAACTACTGACGGTCTTGGTGTAACGGGGGTGGGGGGAAATAACTCTATCTTGTCCATTATTCCACCCCCCAGTTAACTAACGAAGCCGGGGGAAACAGCTCTCTCTAGTCCGTTATCCCGTCCCCAGTTAGCTAACTATTCTAGAGCACTCCCAGAGTTCCTAAGGCAACCTCTCTCGTTCAACACCTTGTAACCTAGGTAATTGACTACCTAGGTGCTAAGACTACAAGGCGCCGTCACTTGATCAGTTACCCGAAACTCTAGAGAGAACTCTAGAATACAGAATCATTGCCACAAACGTACAAGAGAAAAACGAGAGGAAAGAAATGAATAGTGAAGTAATTAGTGAGGGTTTGGGGTGAGAGGCAGAGAGGTGGGAGGAGCGAGGAGGGTCATTAGTTGAAAGTGAGAGTTTAGAGAAGGGTGGAGGGAGAGGTGTAGATAGGTAGAAGGAGAAGAGTAGATAGTAGAAGTAGAAATGCTGCCACCATCCATTCTAGACTATTACATACAAGACAAGGAATGGAACTTGTCTGTATCAAAATATTCTCAAAAGATGTTATCATGAGTTCATTATTAGTAGTTCCCATCTTTATCATGTACTCATTCTAAACCATGAAACCAGTAACTACAGAGGCTTTCTCACCTCAACTCAAAATCTCTAGGGAACAAAGTTAAACACAATTTAAATAATAAATTCATAATTATATTTCACATGAAGTATCATAATTTAGCAATTCAATTAAAATGTTCCAGTTTAATATGCAAAGTGAGTCATCATCCAAGAAGTCGAGAACCCTACAACTTGACTGCCCCTGATCATCACACAACCCTTGTAAAACACGACAAGTCACCTTACTGTTCACTCACCAAGTGTCTCTGCCTATAGCTGGATAGAGGGGGGGGGGGGGGTCTGTAGTTGACAGAGACTCCCGCCCTGCCGGCCGACAGCCTTCCTGCTAGGCCGTCTCTCCTGCAATCCTGACTGCCGTTCTGTCTGTTAATGCTCTATGCTGGATAGCTCTCCGAGTTTATATTGGGGAACCTAGTAGCTAACTCCGCCCACAAGTAGATAGCCTCCGGCACTACCAAGCCACTCCTTAAACGTCGGCATGTTTGAAGGCTACCCGGCTCCAATTATACGCTTAGCGGAAGCAAGGTGAAATTGTCATGATCTGACCTCAGGTCACTTGGGGTCGTTAACGGTTAGAGGTGTGAGATCTCAGGCAGACCACTGGCGCCTCTCAGATCCTTGTCTGTGACTCATGTACTCTATGTATGTATTAACCTAAACCAAACACTTTTACAGTGTTACATTGGCCTCCACCACCTTCTCACTTAACTTGTTCCAACCGTCTACCACTCTATTTGCGAAGGTGAATTTTCTTACATTTCTTCTGCATCTGTGTTTAGCTAGTTTAAATCTATGACCTCTTGTTCTTGAAGTTCCAGGTCTCAGGAAATCTTCCCTGTCGATTTTATCAATTCCTGTTACTATTTTGTACGTAGTGATCATATCACCTCTTTTTCTTCTGTCTTCTAGTTTTGGCATATTTAATGCTTCTAACCTCTCCTCGTAGCTCTTGTCCTTCAGTTCTGGGAGCTACTTAGTGGCTTAACACTTTCGCGCTTTATATTAGAGATAACTCGTCACTGGTTTTTCTTACGATTCCGCATAACTGCCTACTTTTCTCGTCAATCAAAAAAATATTTCTATAAATTCCATTTTTTAACCGAAATGGATGGGGATACTTTTGTTTTGTAGAGAATTTATTTGCGAATTTTTTGGTACCAGAATGAATATTATATCACATAAACTTCTATGAGTAAAAAAAAAATACACAAAGTATGTTTGGGGGTGTGGCGAGCGTGTGGCAGTGGGTTCCCTTTAGCCATTGATATATCCAACACGTGGGAAATATTTGTATGTGTTATGTATATGTCTGTGTAGGGAATTTTACTGCGATCACTGTCATACAAATTATAAAATGTTTCAACAAGTATAAACATGACAAACATCAAACGAACGAAAACAATGCGTTCGTTTCTGCCGCGAACGCATACTGAGCGACGTGGTTCTATATTTGGCGCTTCTCTTACACATGCTTTGTACCAATGTTATACAGTTCATCTTATAGAAAATTTTATTGCGAACACATTGGTATAAAAAAGA